GTTAAATGACTTTGCAAAACCATCTTTAAACAGACTTTCCAAACTTTTCCCACAACTAATGTAAGACTAACGGTTCTAAAATTACTGGGACAATTTTATCACCTCCCTTGAAAATAGGAGTTACATTAGCTAACTTCCAATCCTCTGGTATCTGCCCACTATTCAAGGACTGACAAAAAATATAGTAAGTGGGTCACATATCCAATCTTTAACATCCTTCAAAACCCTTGGGGAAATATTATCTGGCCCAGGAGCCTTATCATTTTTTAAACTTCCCAAATTTTCTTAACCAGCTCAGAATTAATGCAGTCATCTAGTTTGATCTTATTTCCATTTATCATTTATACATTAACACTAGCTTTTTAAACCTGAGGCAAGAATACTGAGCCCTAGGCTTAAGCTGATGTTTTAAAGTTTTACTTATTGCTTACTGTATTATCTTAGTAAAACACTTCACATCTGTTTTTATTATTATTCACTATTTATGTAGCAATTCTCAATTCATTTACTTGAATATTTGTATCAAGTGTTAAAGGTTAGTATCACTATTATATATTACTTTTACAAATAGTTAAAAAAAATGGTTAACTATTAGAACTGTTTAGGCTATCCTGTTTTCTAAATTCGACTGCCGTCCTACTCCAAACTATATCTAGAAATCTTTTTTATTTTCATATATCCAACACTAATTTCTAAAATATTTATCCAATCTTCTTTTAAACACCTATACTACAATGTTGTTCTCCCACAACTGAGGACCAGCTATTCCAAGGCCAACCACCCTATTAGTATTATAAAAATAAAACTGTCTTAATTGGAGTTCTGTCTGAGTATTCCATATCTTAAAATTGTGTCCTCTAGTCTTACTATGTGCAAAAGTCTTTATGAAAATATATGACGTTATGGATTTCAAACTCCTAACAATCTCACTACTTTCCTTATCCTTTTCTACATAGTAACCCTTCTATATTTGGCATTATCCTGGCAGCCACTGTGTGAGCTTCTTTTTCCAACAACTTAAAATACTCTCTATAACTATCTATGGAAAATACAAATCTAATTGTATCTAACAGCTTCTCTACATTTTCTCCAATGCTAGACTGTTTACGAAGTAACTTGCTTCGATATGTACAAAGACTACCATTAGAAAACAACAGTTTACTTATAATTCATTAGGTTTGAGGCAGTTTTTTTAAATGGTGTTACTGTACATTTAAGATGAAGTAAATTCCTGGTTTAACTGTAATGGTAGAACAGTACCATCTTCCAAAAAGGGCAATGACTAAAATGCCTTGAATTTTTGTATATTTCTTCTGATGAAATTGCCTTTTTATTTCTTCATTATCAAGTTACATAAAACTATTTTGATCCGTATTAACGAGATAGGCCTACATGTATGTCAGATTTCTGAAAGAAAGTAATGTATTTGAAAAACAAAAAATATTCTTTTTGAACTTTCAATGCTTAAATGATTGAAGTATCATAAGTATGTATTTGAAACATAATTCTTTACTGTGTCACAAGAGTTGTAAGAAACTGTAATACATATGCATATTTTTGTTCCTTCACAGAAGAATCCAATAAGTTGTATAAAACAAGAGCTGAAGAAAGGGCTATCCCAGTTGACAGAGAATGTTTTAGTGTGAAAGATCTTCATAAACTTAAGGAATTTCATCCTCCTCCTGTGATGCCTCATGGGAACGTTGGCACTCCTACTCGAATATTCTTGGACTTAATCAGAAGCTGCCAACTTCCACCATCAATTATTACAAAACTTGGGCTGGAATTTCCAAAAACACGTTGTAAGAGAATATATGGAAGTGTACCATTTGAATATGATACACAGTTTTATAAAGATCGTGGAGTAAGTCATGAAAATGATGACTTTGAACCAGCTAGAACAGCAAAAGGTGATGTTATCACGGAAATAGTATCATCTTCGATGTCTATGAACAAAAAGGATATTGAGGTTCGAGAAGTAGAGAAGACTTCTGACAGAGAATCAGAAGAGGTAGGATGAAACAGCCAATAAGTTATACATATTACAAGTAACCAGAAATCAACAAATTAAAAATTCCTTAACAACCAGATACAGGATTTTGTTTGTATGTTTAAATCTTGGCTATAATTGTGTGGTACTATATAAAAGAGACTTAGTAAATATATTTCTTATGAAAGTAATTCAAATATATATACATGTTTGTGTGTGATATAAACTGTCTCTGAACTGAAAATTTATTATTTGAGAATTATATAAATATGGAGCATTCATTATATTGAAATAAAAAAATGGTTTCCCAGGGCAAACCTAAGTTAATTTTGAGACCATTAATTAATTAGTTATTTCACAATATCAACCACCATTAACAGTTTAGAAAAAAAATTATTATCAGGAAAAAAAACTATTATGTGTTACATTTAAGAACTAAATTGTAAAGTGTTTACAATAAAATTATCAGAGAAAAAGCAGTTTATCTATGGGCATTGCTAAGATAAACTGACATATTTCAGCATCTTACATCTTTGTCATAGATTATAATTGTGTTTTTAATTATTGGTACTTACTAATAAGTCATAATCAGGATTTTCGGGTGAATAATTTATTTAATAAAAATTCACGAAATTCTGTTAAATGTTTCATAGAATTATTTAAGAAGAGGCAGGAGGCCATTTATCCAACAAGGTTATTCTAACACCAAAAATATGTATAACAAAATTGTAAAGGGATTCAAACTACCATGTTGTCAGGCAAAGCGTAAGTTTATATCTAACCTAAAAAAAAATTCCCGTGAAAGAACAAGCCTTGCAAAATGTAACGAATGTTACCTATAACATTCAAGTTTGTATTTTTAACTCTTTCATTTTCATTACTCCAAAAAAAAAACATAAGAATACTATCCAAGTCCTCTAACACCTTTGACTAACTGAATCAAGTAACTTTAACTGCCATGTGCTCTCAGGAAAATGAGACCAAAGAAGCTGTTAAGTATTTATATGATCTTCCACTAACTGGCCTATTCATTAAGACTGTTGTTATAATTCATTTTATTTTACTGAATAGATATATTTGTTTTAGAGTAAAAAGTATTGGTTATAATCCATGAGAAAAATTCTGTAGTGATTAACTGATGGTAGTAATAAATCCGCTCTTCCCAGCATGTGCTGGGAAGAGTGGATTTATTACTACTATCAGTTAAAACATGCTGGGAAGAGTGGATTTATTACTACTATCAGTTAAAAATTACTACTATCAGTTAAAACATGCTGGGAAGAGCGGATTTATTACTACTATCAGTTAAAACATGCTGGGAAGAGAGGATTTATTATTACTATCAGTTACAAACATGCTCTGGGAAGAGTGGATTTCATGTTTATAAATATTATTGTTCAACAAGCTTTGTAAACTATTGAGATAAATAATAATAAAAGATTCTAAAATGGACTGTGTTAGTCCTATCCTTTCAGTTGAAAAAATGTTGTGTTGTTACCATGCTTTGTGTTCTAACACTAAGCCTATTTTCTGTCCACTTCTTAATTTTTTCCAACAATCTTATAAGCATCCACCTAAATTTAATATTTGTATTTAGGACTAACTTAAATCTCTTGAGTTGGCTGAACCTCTTTAAATAATATTGAGGTTACAATAAAAAATATCATTAATAGCAAGGGTTCCTAACTGATGAAACAATGCATTCTAAATTTTATATGTAGGAATGCAAGAAAAGTATACATATAATTAGCTATACTCATTACTATGTTAATTTTGAGTTTAATTATTAGTAGGTAGCTTATTCTGATCGAATGTTAATATTAACAACTAATTACTTGTGAGGTACCTTATCAAAGACTTTCAAGATAAAGATAAACAATATGAGCCAAGGTGCCCTTATCTAAAAAGGCAGAGGCCCTATCAAAATGCTTCAAAAAATTGGTAAGACAAGAAAACCTTTTCTAAAACTATGCTCTACGTAATAGCTTTTGACAACAGATTTCAACACACCTGGCTAACACAGACTAATGCATGTAATTTTCCACACAAGATAAATTTGTTTATACTACACCTGTGCCTGAAATTTGTGAATAAAAATTAACTACTTGTTAGCTTATTTAAGTTTTACATTTTTAATTGATTGACTTATGAATTCAATTACAGCTTTTATTTATCATTAAATGTAGTCTGTTGTTTATATAAACAAGGTAATTTAGTTTTACAAGTAAATAATCTTTAATGACTTAATTGGACTTGTGTCAAAAACCATTGTAGAATTTAGTTGATTTTATGGTTGTTCGCTGCATAAGACACTAGCCTTTTTCTGTACATCTCAGGACGATGACATGTGTGAAGAATGGGAACGTCACGAGGCACTTCACAATGACGTGACACAACAGGAACGTTCGAAAGAAAGGCTGTTTGAAGAAGAAATTGAGTTGAAATGGGAGAAGGGTGGCTCTGGGTTAGTGTTCTACACAGATGCCCAATACTGGGATGCCAAAGAAGGAGACTTTGATGAGAAGACGGCAGATGATTGGGATGTGGATATGGCAGGGTATTATGAACCTGGTATGTATTTTAATTAATCTTCTGTGAAGTTTGTTTATACAGAAAAGCAAAAAATTAACTAGCAAGATATTTTTAATATTGTACTTATATATGTGTGCATTTTTTTTCCTGTGTATAGTAATTTTAAAATAAATATAGTAGAATTTTATAAGTTAGTTGTGTAATGTTGAAATGAGCTTTTTTCAAGAGAGTCCTTAAGGTAGTTAGGAAAAACTACTTTCTCAACATGTAGGTCATATTTTCTGAAATACTAGCATGAGAAATGCTTTCTATGTTTTATGTGAGTGATGCTAGTACGTTTTAGGGCTTTCATATTTCTGTTGTTGTTGTTTTTAAGTAAAATGGTTAGAGACCATGACACTAGTATGTTTTATGTGAGTGACGCTAGTATGTTTTATGTGAGTGATGGTAGTGTGTTTTATGTGAGTGATGGTAGTATGTTTTATGTGAGTGATGGTAGTATGTTTTATGTGAGTGACGCTAGTATGTTTTATGTGAGTGATGGTAGTATGTTTTATGTGAGTGATGGTAGTATGTTTTATGTGAGTGACGGTAGTATGTTTTATGTGAGTGATG